GCTCTGAGAATAGGAGCTTACTCTCCCCGTCAAGAGTAAGTGCCAAGGGCCTGGACTCTGAACTGCAGGGCACAAACGGAATCTGAGACCTCTCCACCTGCCTCCCCCTCTTGGGGAACAGGAAGTACTATGCATAATTTTGCTTAGAATGAGTGCCTGGAGAGCCGGAGAGGGCAGGGAGCAGGTTTTCCAGATCTGGCAGAAGGAAGGTTGGTAACCTGATATTCATCTGTGTCGTGTTAAGATTTCCTCAGTGAGACTTGGTATAGAATTACTGTGATTTCTGAAGTCCTGGGAAGTCGCATACGAGTGAGCCGAGGTGGAGCTGCCGAAGGCTCCCAGCTTCACACAGGACTGGACAACCTCTGTGTAGTGTGGCTGGGGAGCAAATTACGAACGAGTTATTCTAATCCATCTCAGAGTTTTCTGGGGGCAAACTCAACAATGCTCCCCAGTAGTCCAAAGGGAACCTGAGGGCTGTGGAGTTGCTACAGGTGGGAGGAGGGACAGGCTTTGGCAGTGGGAAGCACAGCTCAGCTCCTCTTCAGAGAGTGAGCTGCGTGCACTTAATGAAAAACAGGTGATCTTGACTCTGAGGCGAAGAGCAGGGAAGGGAGGGGTGTAAGGACCCTGAGGACCCCGACCCTGCCTTCCTCTTCCCTGCAGGCAGGAGTCTCCAGTTAGTGAACAGCACATAAAGACCCCATACTATAGGCAGGGGTGTGGCACTGGGAGGAGCCGCGTATTCTATTGCGGAGATCACCGACAACCAGGGACAGGGAGATGGCAACTGTGGCTCTCTGACTCAGCTGATAAGAGGTGGCCTGTCTGTGATACACGTTCACGGCACTTAAATGTCTTAACTCCTCATTCTCACAGATGCACTTCTTCAAGACCTGGCAGGGAAGAGACATGGTATTTATGGGGCGTCTTCAAGTCTCCCAATAAAGTTTCCAGAATATTCTAATAAAACGACTGTTTAAAAGCAGTCCGTAAAGACTCCTGTCTCATAACTACACAAAAAGCTGAGATTATGATTTCTACCTCCTTAAGGTCATTTAGTCAATACCGTGCGCGCATGTTAAGTGGCCAGGTTCCGCCAAGTGTCAAGAAGACAAATATTGACTAGAACATCCTATCCTGCTCCTACGGAGCTTATAGTCCTCGTAAAGGAAGCTGCGTGCATTAAAACAGAAACTTCTGAGCTGTATTTGCTAAGTTGCACCCTCTGGAGTTTTTAGTAAGAAGTTAGTTGATTCTCCAGGGAGACAAAAAAAAAAAAAAAAAAAGGATGAAAGAGGAGGCAGGAAACTGTCCCAGGAGCCAAGACAGCAGCAGAGATTACAGAGAAGCAGGAAGATGAGTGTTGGGGGGGGGGGGGGGGCAGGGGGCTAGGCTGGCGCCTTGCAAAGAGGGAAGAGCCCCTCACGCACTGGGGTGAATGCGAATCCTCCCGTGCTCCTTTCCTGCGCTCACCTGCACGCTCTCCTTCCGGAGTTCACAATCCACTGATGAACCTCAGAGGTTCCAGCGATAGAAAGAAAACTCTACCTATCTACGAGATCTCCTGCTTTTAAGAGTTGTATTCAGAGATAGGCCCAAGGCAAATTAAGTGAAGGCACATATTTACCTACCGTACAAGTCATCGCCTTGCAGAGCCGACAGTCTCCTTTTTATGTAGCGAGAGATCAGACAGCCTTTATCAGGCGCAGACATGTCATTAAGTGCACTGGGGCGGCCCAGGGCCCTCAGGGCTCCTCAGCTACCTGCTCAGAGATGTCGGCTTCATTCAGTCACGTCAGAGGAGCAGGACAGAGTGGCCCGGAGACGTCCGCTCTGGTTTTCTAGCTCCAAATCCCAGAGCAGACGGTGGCAGCTTTAGGTGCACCTCGGGGTCTAAGCCACCGAACACGCTTCCCTCGCCCCTCCCGGGGGGCCACATTTCATTGACTGAAAGTCCCCGCAGGACGCAAGCGGGGCTCCCTCCCCACACCGCCACAAGCTCCCCACAGGCCAGGGCCGCAGCCTGGCCCAACACCTGCCCCGGGCAGGCAGGCACATGACTTGGCATCACCACCCCAGCAGTGAAGGCTGTGGCAGTCTTTCAAGGTTAGGGAACCCCAGTCTGACATGGGTGCGCAGCACAGAACACCCAGAAATGACCTCTCCTTCACGCACTCGAGAACCCATAGCTTCCTTCTCTCACACACACCCTGGTGGCCTCTGCAAGTGTGGCTGTGGCCTCGCGCCTTGCTTCCGGCTTTTACCTCTGTGTGTTCCCGTTTTCTTGCATTTACATCATAACTTTTTATGATCACACCTGCCCGTTTAGACAATGCCATACGATGACACCAGGTTTGGGCACAGGCACAGTCTCCACTACTGGGTGGCACCGTACATGTGCCAAGAGCTCTCCTCTGGCGTCTGGTTGCCATTGTGCCTCGTGATCCCATTCATAAGTAAGCTTGACCTTACAATAGTTCCAACGACAATAATTTAACTTCTTTCAAATCTCCACACGAGTGTACTGTACCCATGTTTGCCAGATCTGGAAACAATGCCAACTTCAAATATTCTGTGTTGCCCAAATAAGTCACTGAAACACCGCTCAGATCTTAGTAGCTTACATCCACCCAACCGTTGGGAAACAGATACTAAAAAAATAGTATAGCTTGCTTTCACAAGCTTCGCACAACTATATTTACATGTTACACTCCACCACACCCTTTACAGTCAGGACAAGCAGTCAGCCTACTGAGTCAAGATGTAAAAAACTGGCCGAGTGGAAGCCCAGGTCTTCGGCGGAGATGGGGTTACCTGGACTTAATCCCCAGTTCCCTGTGTGCAATCACCCACTGCCAGACATTTCTACAGAAGCATCAGAAGTGGAACTTGGAAGAACTACTTACTGTTCTACTCTTCTGAAATGCTCAAACTCATCACGTCCTTACTCCATTGATGAGCCTTCAAGCTATGTCTACTATTTTTTATCATTGTAAAAATGCCCCTCAAAAATCCTAACATTTTATTCGCATTTATTTTCCCTGGATCATGAATAATACATAGGTCAATAGATATGGAAACCGTGACAAACTTCCTGTACAGACAGGAGAAACTTGAAAGCACACGGCCAACTTCTGTCAGCCTGGCTCTGCTTGTGTCCTCTACCAAGCCAGCAAATGTCAAGTCCTGCCTACAGTCTCTACATGAGAACAGCACCACCTGCCCTGTCAGACACTGCGGAAGCACCAGGTGCTGATGTGGCGAAAAGCTACACAAGCCCCAGATGTGACAACAGGTGGATATGCTCTTTGAGGTGAGATGCCCACTGACCCATCAATCCATGAAAAGCCCTCGATGTACTCAACATGAAGATTATAAAAAGGGAAAGAGCTCCTGCCCAGAGCCATGTGACACACAGGATACTAAAATCCTAAAAATGATCCATCTGGAGGCAAATTCCCAGGCGTTTTATGACAGGTGAATTCATTCTGCCTATCTCTCTCCCTGTCCTAGAATGAAAAAACTAGGAAGACAAAAAGCCGAGCCAATGCCAGGCCTGCAGCCGAAGGCCATCCCACGCACTGTGAGTGATGAAAATTCCAAGCAATTTTCTAAAGAACTAAAGCAGTTCTTTACTTCCTAATCTGGAAGAGAGATAACGGGACCAAAGTACATTAGCTCAAGAGATTCTCCATTTCAAAAACTATAGTTACAAGGATATGTGGATGATCAAAGGGCCAACCCTATGCCGATTAACAAGAGGCACGTTAAAAGGACTTTAAGGTACCATTCCAGGTCATTCTGTCCACTGTCACACCCAGACAGCAGGGGCCACAGTCAGGCATTCCCTGAGAGGCATCATTACCGGGACAGTGGAGGGTCGTCTTCCTGAAAAGCCACCTGGCAAGGTGTAACCAGAGCTCCGAGTGAGTCATCGTCTCACTACAGAAACTCTCTGCAAAATATACCCAAGGAAACAGGCAACCCAAAAGGGAAATAAAGAAACTTATAAAATAGATGTCCTATTGGATAAATATCACAGGAAGGACTTAAGGGCAAGATTCACAACTATGTTGGTGAAAACCAGAAAGATCCTTCCCCCTTTCTCCCTAGGGCCCTGGGAGACAAGGTAAGATAAGAGCAGTGAGCTTCCCAAGCACTGGCCCCGGGCACAGGCCTCCGTGGCAATAATCACAGGAAACTGGCCAAGATTTCAAATATGCCACAACAGGGCGACCAACGAGAGGCTGTGAGGCCTTTCCAGAATCCCGTGGGCACTTCACATGCACATATTGTTTCTACCTAGATGGGGCTTTTCCCAAAAAGTCAGAAATAGTAAAATGTCAACTCTCTCGAAGAAGGAACGCATGCACCCTGCAAAAGCGAGTAAGTTTAGAGGGTAAGCAAGTTTGGCATTGTAGTCTGTCGCAATGACCTGTGTCTGGGAGAGCTGGACGCTCTGGACCTGGGGGAGGGGAAAGTAGGCGTTCGGAAGCTGCTCTTCTGTGGAGGCTCTGCGGGTCCCCACTCCAGACACCTGCGGAGAGAAAGAGCCTTAAAGTACATTTGCATAACGTACAAGTGTCTTTCCCAAGAAATCTACATTCCTCATGCTGGCATTCCAGCCTCTTTCCAGTAAAATTATCCTATTTATCTTTCTTCTGCAAAAAATGCAGAAAGAAGAAACTGCTGTTTTTAACCTGAAGGTTGTTCATTGCAGCAAGTCTCAGAGATAAACTGCCTGATATGGAAGCCAGTAAGGGTTAACCACCAAGGTGACAGATCTTGGCACTTGACTGGCTTGATGCCCCCTCCTATGAAGTAAATTCAAGAGAAAGAGTCACAACTATGCTGGTAAAACCCAGAAAGATCCTTCCCCCTTTTTCCCTAGGGCCCTGGGCACTAAGATAAGATAAGAGCAGTGAGCTTCCCAAGCACGAACCCATGTCCTGATGTCCTGATCAGACCTTGGGGGTGGGGGGGGAGAAATGGCAGAAATCAAAAATTTGAAAGCCTGCTCTATTTTATATTAGAAAACTATATGATCACTGTCTTTTTTAATATTAAATTATTTTTATTAAGGTAATTCTGGATTATAACACATATAAGTTTTAGGTCAGGGAGGTAAAAGGATTCACCAGAGACAAAGTGGGGAGCGGAACAGGCAGATCTACTGACATAGACTGCTGAGGGGAGCAGCGGGGAGACAAGAGAGGTCTGCTGTGCCCTGTGGGCCACTCCCTGGCCAGGGATTGAACTCATGCTGCAGTGGCCGGTGATAACTTGATAGCGCTAAGACTTTTAACCTCTGAGCCACCAGAGCGGCCCCAGCCCTATTTTAGTATTTTGAGAAACCTCCATACTGTTTCCTTCTTCTGTTACTTCTCTACAATGACCCTCCTTGGTCCATACTGAGCCCCCCAGTGTGGTGTGAGGCGCAGGAGGGGACGGGCGGGGGAGCTGAAGAGCACAGCACCCTGACATATTAGTGCCCTGAGCCAGGTGGCAACATTTCCAACAGTTGCCTTGAAACTATCTACATCACTCTGTGACATCAGCAACCAAACTCGGAGACAAAAAGACTCTACTTACATGATAGGAAAGGACTCCATAGGAGGAGGTATTAATAAATAAAGAGCTTTCAATGCTTCCTTCTTCAGTAGGTAAGAAAATAATTCTGAAGGAAGTCTTCCCCATTGCTGGAATGACCTGCAAGAAAGGTATCACTTTAATATCTGGATTGGCACCCACGTGCACAGTGACCTTTACCTGATGCAGTTCTGTTAAGGGGAAGGATGTCCTAAAGGAACTCTGCAGAGTCTTGTGGACTCCACCCCCTTCTCCAGCTTTCTGGACTCTGCCCCCTACTCTAGTGACTGGAAACTACAACTCCCACAGTACCAGGGAGAGAACTGCGAGGACCCAAGGGCAGAGCTAGCAGGAATTCTGGGACATTTGGGGCATAAATAGGGCACGATTACATCTCTTCCTCTCTCGCTCGGGAAACAGCTCTCCGGGCCGCGTGACTCGGTGTGTTCAGTCAGCCTAGCCGAAAGGTATTCCAGTTACTTTGTATCCCGCTCTCTTTCCCTGGGTTGTTTCCTATTCCTTTCCCCTTTTGTAAATAAACCCATTATTGACCCTTTCGTGTGTCCCTGCAGTATAACCAAATTGTGAGCACATGGGTGAGGCCCCACAGAGAGGCAGCCCAGTCCACTCTGGGCTACCCAGCAACAGTTCCAGCTCTATTTAAACAAAGAGAACCTCCAGTGTCCAAACGTGTGGTCCTTGGGGAGAGCCAGAGGGGGCATTGAACTGCACAGTCATGAACAAAACACTGTGTTCATCCTCACACCACCTCCTTAGTCCCGCTATTTAAAAACAAAACAGTGCAGCAGGTATTGTTTGCCCCTGGGGCAAATAAAATAAAGCCCACTAGCCACTGGGTTCTCTAGTAAGGGGTAAGGACCACTGAAACTACAACAATTACAACACCAGGGTTTCAAGTTCTGTTATGTGCAGCTTCATGGCGATCTACTCACTACCTCTTAGTCCTGTGTTTAGAGAGGGGTCCGGACTGGTGAGTTCCCCAGGTGGTGAGCTCAGCCAGAACCTTGCAGCTCAATGAGAAGCACTGTCACACAGGGCTTCAACACTTGCAGATGTGTCAAGACAAATACTAAGTTTCTTTAACCAGGAATAAGTCATATTAACAAAGGTATAGCTACCGAGCAGGGACTCTTTAGCTTTTTGGGTCCATATTACTGTCAAGAGCCATCAAATGATGATCAACCACTGAAAAACTAAATGCTAAAGCAAACACCCAGAAGGAAGAGCTTGGGTAGCAGAAAAGTGGAAAATGTCAGGGCCAAAGAAAGCAAGAAAGGCTGGCAGGCTGCCAGGTATCGTTTCCAGGAGCACATCAACACTTACCCTGCAATGAACAGGAGGTGCATGAAAATGTCTAGCAGCTGTAAACACTGAATTCACCACGACCTCACTCTCCCGACTAGGGTTATAAGCATAGAGAATCTTTGCTGCCGGATGTCCCAGGAACCTAGGAGAACAACGGGAAAAGCGATGTACGTGGGGTTAGAAAGAACTAGACAGGAGGGCAGGCAGATGTGCATACTTGAAATCCAGAAAGCAGCTGATGTTTGTAAGCCAAAAGCAGCAATGATCAAATGCTTTTGTTAATAAGACATATAGTCCTCAGCAGTCAAAGAAATCCTATCCTTTGCAAAATGCACATTGACTCACGGGTGTCACACCCATGGGCCAGTGCTAGAATTCATCTGTCTGGGCCATGCCATGCCTGCAAAGCACACTCGTGAGGGCAAGCAGGCACTTCTCCGGCTCAAGTCTCAAATTCAAATGAAAGATGTGCAGGTAAGATAAGGGGGGAAGCCTACTTAGGATTTGGGGGGTTTTGCCTAATAAACTGAAAGAGGCTTTGGGGTGGGGGGAATTTCAATTTACAGAGGGTATTGTTTGAGTAGGGCCTTATTTTTTTAGTATTCTTAAATCAGACAACTGGAATTTTTCTACAGTACCATAAAGGGTCACCTCAGAAAGTTCTAGCTTAGAGTATGGGGCTCACATTTCCCTTTTACCTCAACTAAATTAAGTAAACAAGGACTTGTGTGGTTTGAGGTTTTAAGTCAATGCTAGGAACCTATCAGCAAAGTTATTAATACTTATCCTCAAAGTTTTATATCCCGTTCATATCATTTTAATACAAGAACTTTGGTTTCAGAGGATAAGCATGTCTCCCAGGGAAACGGAAGAGCGGTGAGACTGCGGAGCGGCAGGTCTAGAGCCAGCGGCTTCCACGGCCTGGACCCCAGCTACTGCTGTGCTATTTTTAATCTACTGCTTTGAGTTCTATTTTTACAAGCATTATGAAGATAAGAATTTCCTTCGCTGGAGACAACTGGAAGATACTCTATTGATTTAATACTACAGAAGAATGATTGAAATCTCTCGTGAGTGATTAGCACTTTTAATGTCAGGACCAGCAGAACATTAACCCTTAAAATAAAGCCTAAGAATCAGGCAGAGGGCAGCTGATGGTGATATAGACACACGATAGAATCTGTCTCTATGGCCCTTCCAGGAGTGAACAGGACTTGAGATAAGATCATCCCCAGAGAACTATGAAGTGTTACATAAGCGGAACTCAGTCACCCAGGGGTGAGTCAAGTCTAAAACGTAGGAAAACCTTTTCAAAGTCTATACATTTTTTTGAACATACATCCAGCTATTAGAACCAGAAATTGGTGTGCCAAGCTAATTAACACAGGTAGCTAGTACCTACATGAATACATCCAAGCAAACTCACTGCATGGTTTTTTTTTTTTTTTTTCTCACTGCATGATTTTTATGCTACTGAGGAGCAAGTACATTCTAGACAGCCGCATTCATGACTGAGGCAAATGCCACCTCGCCTCCCTGCCCTTGCGGTTATTACCCCTGGGTAATCTGCACTCTTTCGAGGGGGTCCTGCCTTAAAACTTTATTACAATAAAGATTTTTCACAAAAAGCAAAGTGCTCTCTCAGAATATAACACAGATGGTTTTATTGTAAATTTAGCTCCTAGTGAAGTGTTTTAACCCAAAAGTAAAGACATAAAAACTCCAAAGGGTTTATAAAGCAGACACCTAGAATCTTGTCAAATCAATAGTCTCCCTTCACACTTGTATCTCTTCTTCCTTAAAAAATTCAGCAAAGTTATTATACTTTTAAATTTGAATTCCATTCTTCTGCTCTGCAGCTCTGATCTCAGAAGGATCAAGGGACTGGAAAAGGAGAAAATCAGAAGAATGAAGGGGGGAACACCAGGAGAACGCTGTTAACTGCCCCACCCCCACCCCCGTGGGCTCCTACAGTTACTGCATTCAACTTTTCTTGAAACTCAAAAAAGTGCTTCCTAAAATTGAAGTAAAGTTGAAACAGGCAGGCTTTGACACCTAAAAATCTCTTTTACTTTCGCCCTTGAAATTCCCACAAATTTGAAACTTTATCTTCTCTGAACTGCAATATTCTGCATCCAGGGAGATTAACGCTTTCAGCTTCCAACTTGCTCACCGTTGGCACCAGCCCTGAGTTCCCTGCTGAGTTCTGGGTTCCCAGATTAGTCCCTCAACACTCGGATCACATTCCATGCGTCTCATGGTTCTTAACACGATGGACTGCAAATAATTACAGCTTACACGCTGTCTTCCCCATTTAACTTTTTTCCAAAGGCTTAATCATAATAACTAATGTTAGCTTCAGTGCAATTTTGAATCCCAGAGCATAACAAGCAGTAAAAACAACTGAGTAATGAATCTAATTAAAGGTTCAAAAACCATCAGCACTTATAATTTTTCATTATAAAATAACCTGATCTGTTTCAAAAAAACAAGGCCTTATTACAAGTTCTACTCACTGTAAAATATTAGAAAATACATAATGTGATTGAAACAACACTCTCTTTTTAATGAAAAAAAATCTTTTAAGTAATCCCAGGATGAGATTACCAATGTACTTTTAATATGTTAGTAATTTACATTGTAACAGAAGTATTTAACATCATGTGTGCATGTATAACACTCTGACAGCAAAAAATGCAAATAATGTGAGTTCTTTAAAAATTATATAAAGATACTTACTGAATTCCAAAATCTAGAACTGATGGCTGAAAATGCAAGCCCTTTCCACTGAATAGTTTGTCTGAGAAGCTGAAAGAGAAAAGAAAAGACATTGATGTTTGTGTAGTTTGAAAACTTGAATGCTGAATTCAGGATACCCTTAGGTCAGCAGTCTGCACAGAATATATGATTTTACTCCTTTACAAGCCTGGATTAGGTCTTAAAACATTACAGTGGAATAACGAGGAGAGTAATGTAATTTTACAGCTGTTGGTTAATAGGTAACATCACAGATCAAATATCTGGATCCTGTGGTATTCGTGCAAAAATGAAGAGAGGTTTAATTTTTAATAGGTTTCATTTTTCACTCAAATCACAAAACAAACCTATTTTCATAAAAACCCAAATCAAGAAAGAACATACAAATAAGATGGAGTTGGGGCACAGGGGAAGGGGCTTTGACCTCGGCTCCTGAGGCCGAAACCATCATCAATCTGTATTGCTAAGAACAGCAAATCACGTAAAATTGCACATAGTGGCCACCCACAGTTAGGAATCTTATGATGACTTCATTTTCTCTTAGACTCAAAAGCACAAACATGCAGAAGAATTAAACACATGACAGCTTTATATTATATGAACACACTAAGCGATACTAAAGGCCCTCCCCGGTGGCACGGAGCTAAAGCACAGCACTGAGTAGCTAAAGCCACTTCAGCCTGAGTTGGATCTCTGTGACCACATGGTGGCAGACCTCTCCTGACCCGCCCGCTGCTCCCCTCAGCAGTGCACTTCTCAGTCTGCCTGTTCTGCTCCCCACTCTGTCTCTAGTGAATCCTCTCACTGGTTCTGCAGCTCTGGGCCTGTACCCCAGTTCAGTATGCACAAATAAATAAATCTTAAAAAAAAAAAAAAGATACTAAAATGCAGGGTATCGGTATATATACAGAACCTATGGATTATCACAGAGAATATTAAAGCCATGTCACCCCAAAACATTAAAGCAAAGCAGTGCCTGACTGCAGCAGATGCATCTGATTTCCGAGACCCTGGAAAGCTTCTCAAGTGCGCCCTCCACCTCTCTCTCTCTCCACCAGGCAGCCCTCCACCAGGCGTGGCTCAGAGGCTGGCCCAGGCAGGAGTGGACACTCAGTTTCAGACCTGCTGGCCCACGCGGGCTTTGTCACCTTCAGCAAGCCCCTCTTCGGTTTTTCTCAAAAGCCCAAACAGAGCCAGAGCACAATTCCAGAAACCTGGTGTCCTCAGAAGGCTCCCAAACGCGCCTCTCCTTCCGCCTCCACTTCCTGCCCCAAGTCAGCTTCCTTTCCTCCAGCTTGGCTCTTCAGAGCCTTTTCCCCGCCATCTCCTCGGTATCCCCACCATCTCCTCGGTGTCCCCCACCATATCCTCGGTATCCCCCGCCCGGCATCTGAGCCAAGACAGCAAGCACATAAGAAACTTAGCCTGTTCACTCTGAGTAGGAGAACTCAGAGACAAAGTGGGGGGGGGGGTGAGTGTGGGGGGGCAATGAAAATGAGTAAAGGAATATACTAGGTGTTTTGATGGTTGGGGTGGAATGGTAACATATATCTGAGGAGACAAAGTGGGGGGGGGGTGAGTGTGAGCGAGGAGGGAAGGGGGGCAGGCACCAGAGCTAACACAGGCGGCTTCCCTGGGCTTGCAGCCCAAGCCCTAAAGAAGTCACAGGGGCTGTGGGCCTACATCGGACCTTATTCCTGAAGGTTTGTCCACCTTCCAGAGAATTTCGTGATGTTTGAGAGGCCCGTGGGCTGCAGAAACTCAAGTTCTTCCTGAACGGGTGAAAAATCACATGACCTTCATCAGGGACTTGAGACCACCTACAGGGCGCATGGAGCTGAATGTTTTCATGTGTCTCTACGCATCCAAACATTTAGAGCTTTGGTAAGTGAACTCTTTCAACACCTGGAGAGAGCAGCATGTGTCTTACAAGAAGAAAAGAATTTTTTAAGGTGATGATAGCAGCCTCAGCCGTCAGGGAGGTTGCAAGGATAAGAGGAAAGGAGTGCTCTGTCCCAGAAAGGCAACCAGCAGACACCCCAAAACCCCTGGCCTCCGAGGATTCGGGAGGGACAAGCTGTGCAACTTCGAGACCGGGCTGTTCTCTTGTATATGTGGCTTCAGCTCCCAGGCTGGGCACAAGGGTGGAGGCCTATAGGTCTATGAAGGTGGAGACTCTGCTAATCCCCTAAAACCTTTCACAGGAAACAAGCATTTCAAGGACTCAGCTGCTAGTCCCAGGGATCTTGCAGGAATTTCCCGTTATGCAACAGAATTGGAATGGGTCCCCCCTCCCCCAAAAGGAGAGGAACCCCAGCCTGGGGGAGCCCTTGCTGGGGCTGCACGGGGCAGCCACTGAGGGGGGGGGGGAGGCCACTACAGCCCCTTACTGCCCTAGCTCAGCTCCAAAGCTGCCCTAACCCTCCTGTGACCTAGGACAGCACTGTTAGGGGCAAAGGGCCCCGTGGCAGGACTTGTGAATCAGTTGTATAACTACAGGAGTTATAAAAATTTACATCACAAATTACTTTCTGCTTTGAATTTAATTTTAAAAAATCTCAGAATGACACATCTTAAAGCAAATAGTAACAAATGTTGGCAAGGATGTGAAGAAAAAGGAACTCTCCTGCACTGGTGGGAATGCAAACTAGTACAACCACTATGGAAAACTGTTTGGAGGTTCCTCAAACTGCTAAACATGGAGCTTCCCTACAACCCAGCAATCCCACTCGTAGGTATCTACCCGAAAGACACAAAAACACTGATTCAAAAAGACACCTGCACCCCATGTTTACTGCTGCTTTATTTACAATAGGAAAGATTCCTATTGCTCCACCTAGGAATCAACTCAAATGCCCAAAAGTAGATGACTAGATTAAAAAGATGTGGTACATATACACAGTGGAATATTACTCAGCAATCAAAAAGATAAACTCATGCCTTTTGCAGCAACATGGATGGAGCTGGAGAAGATCATGCTTCGTGAAATAAGCCAGAAAGAAAAGGAAAAATACTGATGTTTTCACTAATAGCAGGAGCATAAAGGACCAGGGGGAGAAATAATAATGATGAACAACTATATACCAGAGACTTTTTACAGGGGGGAGTGGGGAATGGGAGAAAAAATGGGGTGAGGGGGTAGTGCACTGGACTATGGTTGGGACATGGGTGAACTGGTGATGGGAAGCCCACGGGGATTGCAGCTGAGATGGACAAAGGCACAAAATGATGTAAAAATAAACTATTATAATAAAATCCAAAAACTTCTCAGAAGTTTACGGGTAGGAGAAAGTATGAGCTACACTGGCATGTCCACAGAAGTCAAAGCTGCCATTGCTCCTGGGAAGTGAACATCCCAACGGTGGCAGAAATCAGCACTGTCCATTAAACTCCAAAAAGGTGAGGATGGGTCATGGGGTCAGACATGATTTCCTACGTTTCTTTTAACTACAGAAAGCTTCAGGCTTCAAGGTCAAAGCAAAGAGGGGAGTTCTTGCACGAATGCCAACAGGAAACTGGGCGGTGTGCTCTGGAGCGGGGTGGCTGGGTCTGACTGCCAGGCCCCCCTGAAGCCGCGACACAGCCCTCCACGGCTTTGTCCCTCAAGTTGCCGATGACCTGATGACCTTCTCTGCCTTCATACCGCCATGTTGGGGGGCTCCTTCTAGCCCTCTTTCAGACACCCCTGCCTGTTCCAGGAGTCTCCAAACACCACCCACCTTTCTCCTTCACCCTTACTGATACCAGACCCTCTGACACCCCCCACCCCAGGCCTTCACCTTCCTGCAGCCTGTCAGCGAAGTAACAGCAAGGGTTTTACAATCTGTTCTCTGAGCAGGGGCCACCCCTATCCCATCCACACG